GATCAGGTAAGTCGCTATCACTGATTGAAGGGCGATGAATCGACAGTCGTGAATCCGGAGACTGCACAACGAATCCTGGCTTATGAACAGGAGCACTTAGAGGGCGTAAGGTAGGACCAGAAGAAGGAGGAACAAGAGTGGGATTTGATGGTGCCATAGTAATATGATTGGGAATCACGATACGAAAAGAACAGAGTATATCAGTTTTTGGGAAATTGATCAATTATAAATATACAGATATATTGGTACGATCGTTGCGTCAGGGGACAAAAGAGTTGCAAAACTGACTCACCTTATAAAGATTCGAAGAGGGTGCAGAGCCTTGAACTTTGAGCCACCTCGTTTTGCTGTGACATCACCTGGAAAGCACGTGATGGCCATACTCCTTGGGGTACATATGTGGAAAAAGGGTGACCGATATCGCTTGGCTTGCCAAAGCAAGGAGAAAGGGGTGATTCAAATGTACCTTGCTAGCCCAGATACCAGGATTATCGGTTTGGTTCGAACTTTTGGTTGTTTGAGACTGATTTTTTGATAGAATGAGGGTTCCAAAGGCGTCTCCTGACTGTTCGAAGAAGTCGTGATGGTGGTGTGGCCGCGGTGTTGCAGCTGCCAGATGGACAAGCTCAAGATCATCTGACATCCCGCTGCAAACCGCTCTGAGATGTCTTTGCGGGGCGTAATTTTGGCCCGCCGCGCTAATTCCCCGACCCGCTCCTTGCATAATCTCAGAGAGAGAGCGGTGGCGGGTTGGTCGAACACGCTACACCAGAATGTCAAAAGCGGTTGCGGGGCGTGCCGCCCCGCAACCGCCCCGCATCCGCTTTTTGCGGCGGGTCGGTTTTTCCGTTGACTCAATAAAACAGTGTCCTTTCCTGATTGTGTTGTTTTAGAAGAGCAGTCTCAGACAACTTCTACTAGTCATTATATTAGTAGATTATCCTCTTCCAGCTTTGTATAACCCTTGTTGGGTTATCAGTTCTACAACGGTATTTGAGCGTGGAGCATGGTTTGACATATAAAAAGACCAACCACGGACAGGGAAATGATGGCAGTGCTGTTACGGGCGACAAAAAAGAACAAAGAGGAACAAGAATTAGTTACAAACAAACAGCCAATAATGATCCGTCAACTTTATCAGTTATTCAAAGAAACTTACGGAAAATCAGAAGGATTTAACCTGGTAGGAGCTGTCACAATCATCGTGTTCTGGGGAATGGCGAGATTTGAAGATATTTTGAGGAGTAAACCAGAACAAGGAGCACTATTAAGAAGGCACATCGAATTTGGGGTGAAAGACGGGAAACACTTTGCAAAGCTACAATT